TGCTAAAGGAAAAATAACAACCAACTACTTCATACTAAAATTCAAGTACTTTTTAGTATTTAAAAATTTTAAATTTAAGGATAAAACATGCTTAAAGGGAGATGTATAGTCTTAAATATATTTGTTGAAAATGATGAAGACTAAAAACAAATGAGTTAAGTGTCTTTTACTCAAGGGGCTAAAAAAAGTAAACCCCCGAAGAAATTAAGAGGAAGAACAGAGCAGAAGTCAGCGGAAGGAGAGCAGACGTCAGCGGCGGGAGAGCAGACGTCAGCGGCGGGAGAGCAGACGTCAGCGGAAGGAGAGCTGACGTCAGCGGAAGGAGAGCAGAAGCCAGCGGAGGGAGAGCAGAAGCCAGCGGAGGGAGAGCAGAAGCCAGCGGAGGGAGAGCAGAAGCCAGCGGCGGGAGAGCAGAAGCCAGCGGCGGGAGAGCAGAAGCCAGCGGAGGGAGACCAGAAGCCAGCGGAGGGAGACCAGAAGCCAGCGGAGGGAGAGCAGACGCCAGCGGAGGGAGAGCAGACGCCAGCGGAGGGAGAGCAGACGCCAGCGGAGGGAGAGCAGACGCCAGCGGAGGGAGAGCAGACGCCAGCGGAGGGAGAGCAGACATCAGCGGCGGGAGAGCAGACGCCAGCGGAAGGAGAGCAGACGCCAGCGGAAGGAGAGCAGACGCCAGCGGAGGGAGAGCAGACATCAGCGGAGGGAGAGCAGACGCCAGCGGAAGGAGAGCAGACGCCAGCGGAAGGAGAGCAGACGCCAGCGGAAGGAGAGCAGAAGTCAGCATCTACAGAACCAAAAGCTGATGCTTTGCTACACAGTGTCTCTTCCAAAAGTTTTTCAAAGTCTTATCAAAGGGAAAAAAATACAAACTTTTCGGAAAGAAGAAGAACTATAATTACAGACCTATTTTTTAAATCACAAAAGTTATCTTGAGGCATCTTTTTGCCATGCCTTTGTAAAATGGGCATGAAATAGCGATTTCCTAGAGGAACACTGTGGAAGGGACTGCTGGCTGGCTCCTGTGCCTGCCCGCCCTTCTTTTCTCTCTTTTTAGTGGGGTTTGTGGTTTATTTGCTGTTGATTGAGGCAGAGTTGTACTGATCTCCCTTCTCAACAGCAAAGCTTCCCGCCCTGTGAGCAGCCCACACGTGGTAGACGGGCCGGTTCCAAACCCTCAGCCCTTAGCCAGGCAGGCGGCCTCCGCCATTTAACCCACGTGCCTTGCAAAACTGTCGTTTTCTGCCCAGGCCAGGCAGTGAGAAAATCTGGCAAGTTTTGGACTGTATAATGGAACCTCTCATTGCTAGCTAAGCACATGGATGCCTGGAATTAAGAAGTCATTTCACAGACCCCTTAAGCGACGAAGATCTGACCAATATAATGAAAGCTGAAGTGGTGTGCATTATTCCATTAAATAGTCTAAAGGATTAGTTTGGGAGAACAGAAAAGCTAGCAACTCAGAGGCTCCGATACTAAGAAAACAGCGAGAAGAGAAGGAACTAGCAATGGAGTGGCTGAACCAATATCAAAGGGTTGATGTGAGGACTATAACAATGAACACAAAGTCCCCCTAGCACAGAGGAAGCAGCCACGAATGTGAGTTTATATTAATACTAAAGAAACAAAAAGATACAATTGCACATCTCTCTGATCAGCCAAGAAAAATTGCAAAGTATGACAATTTAACAAATGATGTTAGAACATCTGGTTACCATATGCAAAAATAAATAAGCTTCAATCCATACCTTGCATTCTATACAAAAATCAACTCAAAATATAAAACCTAAACTATAAAATCTCCAGAAAATATAAGAAGAAACCTCTGTGACCAAGGGTTTGGCAAGACTTCTTGGATACAATACCAACATTTGATGGCTTTAAAACTTTAAATTTCTGTTTAAAGACACTTTAACGGGAAGGAAAAGACAAGCCACGGACTAGAAGAAAACATTTACGCACCGTATCTTATAAGTCTTATGTCCAGAATATATGAAGGATTCTCAGAACTCAACAGTAAGAACACAACCAGCCTAACTTTCAAAGGGGCAAAAAAAAATGTGGACACTTTACCAAAGAAGATATAAAGAATGGAAAATAAGCAGGAAAAGATATTTAATATCGTTAAGTTCAGTTCAGTTCAGTCGCTCAGTCGTGTCCGACTCTTTGAGACCCCATGAACTGTAGCATGCCAGGCCTCCCTATCCATCACCAACTCCCAGAGTCCATCCAAACCCATGTCCATTGAGTCGGTGATGCCATCCAACCATCTCATCCTCTGTCGTCCCCTTCTCCTCCTGCCCTCAATCCTTCCCAGCATCAGGGTCTTTTCAAATGAGTCAGGTCTTCGCATCAGGTGGCCAAAGTATTGAAGAAAATGCAAATCAAAACCACAAGAAATTTTTTAAAACTGACCGTATCAAGTGTTGATGAGGACGTGGAGGAACTGGAACTCAACTGCTGGTCGGAAGTTAAGTGGTGCAACCACTCTGGAAAACAGCCTGGCAGTTTTTTTAAAAAGCTGAACATACATTTACCACAACAACCCAGCTGTCCCCTCCTAAGTGTTTACCCAGTTGGATGAAAGTACTTGTTCACACAGACTTGTTCACAGCAGCTTTATCTGGAATCATCCCAAACTAGAAGCAACCCAAATGACCCTCAGCTGATAAAAGGGTAAACACACCATGGTACATCCACACAGCGGTAAAAGAAGAAGTGAACTGCTGATACACGCTGCAACGTGGATATGTTGCAAAAGTTATGACTGGTAAAAGGAACCAGACCCAATAAAGAGTATATGCCAAATGAGTCCATTCATATGCCATTCTAGGAAATCAAACTAAACTACAGCAACAGAAGGAAGGTGAGCGGTTGCTGGGAATGGTGGGGTGGAGGGAGGAAATGGGCAGGCGGGAGGGGTGATGGAGGACATGAGGGCCGTGGGCATGTTCGTTATCTCGGCTGTGGCGGCAGAGATGTGTGAAAACAGGGACTTTCATTCCATTGAGAGAACAAGTCAGCACAGCCTCAACGGAGCCTGGTGAAACTGAAGTCCTGCCCGTGTTCTGGCACCGCCTCGAGAGTGGGGGGGGGCGGGGGGGCCAGGGGTGGCACAAACCACAGGCCAAGGCCAGGTCCTGCTGCTGTGATAAAGCTTTACTGGGATGCAGACACACCTTCGTGTACTAGTGTCTACGCAACAGCTGCTTACGGAGGCATCAGGAGAGCTAAGAGGCTGCGGCAGACACCATATGGCTCTGAAGCCTCAAGTATTCACTGTCTGGCCTTTTACAGAAAACATTTGCTGATCACTGCTGGAGACCAACACTGGCTCTTGTGTGCCAGGACACACGCAAAGGAGCCCATGGAAGTGCTCTGCACAACAGCAAAAGGCTGGAGAACGCTAAGTGCCCATCAGTGAAGGGACTGATTACTAACAAACACTGGAATACCATTCATCAATTAAAATGAATAAACTAGACCTACAGGCATCAAAACGGGCAGGGTCTCAGAAACTCCATGCTGTCTGAAGGAAGCTGCAAACAGATCAACAAGATGAGGTTACACACCCCCAGGAGGAGGCATCACACCGAATCCCCGTCAGCGGCCGCCCTACGCTGAGAACAGGACTGCGGCTAGCCCAGAAAGGACTTCAATTTTTCCTTCACATTTTCATTTATTGTTTAAAAATCTAATTAAGATATTTTAGAAGACCCACAAGTTAAATTTAAATGTGACGTCTGTAACACACCAAAGAAGAAAAAGCAGACAAACTTGCTGGGTTTCCCCATCTGACTGTAATACACATCACCCCCAACTCTAAAAATGCTAACTATACTTTTCAAAGCGCAAATGTTCACCAAACAAGGGAATTTTTTCCCTTTTATCTTCTGAAGGCAAGGGATCTACCCATCTGAAATTTACTTTCAGAGGAAACTGAAACACAGGCCTAGTGCGCTCTGCATAAAAACAAAGAGCTATAAAATTTAAACCAACTGACGCTTCAAAGGCCACCTACAGGACCAGCCTGAGGCGCACACACTGGAGGTTCCCGACAGGTCTGCACAGACCTGCCAGGACAGCGGACAACTCTCCAGGCCCACAAGAGGGACGGTGACACAGTGAAATTCCACAGCGACAGACCACCAATGGCAGGAAGGGCCTGTCCCCTTTGAGCAGAGCACTCTCCTCCCGCTAGTGGTGTGAGGGGCTCCCTCTAACGGGGGGTGTCAGCCCTACGGGTTTCCTCGCAGCTGCTTCGGGCCAGATCTTCGTGACAAAGCAGGACACATTAAGCAGAATTATCTAAAACAAGTAACCGTTAATTCAACTATAAGGAAAGAGAAACAGCTGCATGAGTGTCTACATGTAAACTTACTGGACTGTTGGCTCCTGACAAAGCTAAGAAACCCAGAAACTTACATTAAAAAACCAAGAAGTGAAGATTTATTCTTATACTTCTAAGGCGCTACAACAGAAAGCTCTTGGTGGCATCTGAGGCTCACGACCTGGCCTGCAAGTATTCGCCCCACGTCACGTGCCCCAGGGCAGGGGCTGGTGGGAGGCAGGCAGGGGTCCTAACAGAGCCAAGCCACACACCTGGACAGGAGACAGCAGGGAGACCAGACACAGATGGCACGCACAATTTAAAAGTCAGATCTGAAAACTTCCCAGACTTTCACTCTGTCACTAGCTGGGTTCACGTGGACGGAGAGCCTGCCCACCCCCACGGCGCAGAGAGAAGGGGCGAGCCGGGCAGGAAGGGGTTGGCACGGGGTCAGTGCAGGCCAAGGATGGGACTAGGTGCAGAGGAACAACATCAGGCCCCCAGAGCCCTGCGTCATCTATTCTGCCAACTGGGGGGTAGGGAGTAGGGGGAGGCTTGTAAACATGCCCACTGACGTCACTGACAATCACAGGATCTGAAGGGTGCGCCTAGTCTTTGAAAGCAAATGTGTGAGACAGAGGCGAAACACTAGTGTTTACAGAAGTCATTTCATTACCTTCTCTCCAGGTCTGGATGACTGCTGCAACTTCTCATAATCTTTCTTAGTCTCCAGAATTTTTTTGACAAGTCCTCCTGTTGGAAATCAATTGGTTTCATGTTAAAGCAGTTCTCTGCCCTAAGAAGCCAGCTTACTAAGTGTGGGTGGGGTGAAGAGGAATGCTAAGGTTCTTTCTCTTTCTATACTGAAACAGTTTCAAATACTGTTTACAAGATAAAAGAACAAAGCAACTCTTTCAGTCTGTTATAGACTAAGTACTAATATTTCTTTATATTGGGGAAAGAGCCATCAACTCATGAGATAAATACCATATGAAAAGTCATTTGAATATACCTTGTTTGGTACGTTTGACCTTGCAACCATGTGACGATTTTACATTAATAAAACAAAATTAAATCAAAAATTTTAAAGTCTAAAGATCGAAAGCAAAAGAAAACTACAAACGTAGCAGTATCATATCGGCATGCGTAACTAACGGAGAAGAGTTATTTGACCATTTAAAAACAGAGTCACCGGCTGTGCATCCCTAAGGGGGTGGCTGCTAAGAACCAGAAGGCAATCGGACCCAAAACACCCTGGCATGTTCGCAGTGGACACACGTTTGTCAACCACTGGTGCCGTGCCGTGCTTTGTCGCTCAGCTGTGTCCACCTTTTAGCGACCCCATGGACTGTATGTGACCCACCAGACTCCTCTGTCCATGGGATTCTCCAGACAAGAATACTGAAGTGGGGTGCCATTTCCTTCTCCAATTAACCACTGGTAGTGCGTTTTAAATTGCTGAGCGTGCAAAATGCAGGGTAAAGAAACATACGGCTGACATTGTTGGGAACCGTAGTTGCTGGCACAAGCAGAGATGTCCACGGACAAATCAAAGAACTTGGGGAAAACCCTGCAATCACAAATCTAAAGTGAAAACAGCAACATGAACTCAGGATTTAACTCTCTTACAAAAAAATTACAAAATCCCTAGATACAATGACCAACCCAGAAGTGACATGTGACCAGGCTCCTTGGAGATATGGGGAGGGAAGGAAGTACACAAAGGAGCCTAAAACCTTTGTCCCACCAGAAACCAGCGAGCCAGAGTCTACTGGGCAAACACGGGCAGAAGGACATGGAGAAAACGCAGGTGAACCGAGACAAAACCACCAAGCGTGTTAAAGCCGTGACTTCAGACGGACATCAAAACCACCGCCAGCACCAGCACAGCCCTCATCAGTCACCCCTCAAGGTGCCAGGAGACAAGTGCCCGGTGAGGAAAACCCATCAGTAAAGGGGGAGCACAGAGCAGCAAACGCCTGGGGAGGGAAAGCCTGGAGGCACCGACCAAAATGTGCTGGGGGGCAGGGACGAGAGGCCACTCCCCACAACCCCCGCGGAGCAACAGCGTGAGACCCAGAGACCCACGTCTCAGTACAAAGGCAGCAGGCGTGATGAACAGCCAACACCGCCGCCACCGCCTCATCCAAACAATCGGAACCTGACCAAGTCTCCAGAATCAATTCATAGGAAAAGAAGAACATGGGAAAAAAAACCCCACAACCCCAGGGGGAACAAGCCACAGCCAGCTGTGAGGACCCTGAAGGGCAAGCAGCCAGCCTCTTCAACAATAAATCACGGGGGCATGAGCTGGGGGAGGGGGGATTCTACAGAGAGAATTCGGAGCTAGACCGGCAGCTGCACACACAGGGCCCTCACCTGGATTCTGACTCAAAGGAACCAGGAAAAAACACAGAACAACTGGGGGAAAAAACAAGCACTAGATGATACAAGCAGCAGGAATGACTGCTTTTTATAGGCAATAATGGAAATATGGATACTGTTCTTTTTTTAAAAAAAAAAGAACATGTTTACAGCAGAAATGATGCTCTCCAGGACGTAAAAAGTGTGGGGAGTGGAAGGTCACCTCAGATGGAGACCGAAGTACCGCTCACTGCAAAAGCTGCATGACAGCCCAGGGTTTGCCAGACAACTCTCGGCCTTTACGAACGTTTGAGCTAAAAGACATTGTGGGGACCTCCTTCATGGTGCAGGGGTGAAGAATCTGCATTCCCAACGCAGGCAGCTGGGGTTCAATCCCCGATCGGGGGCACTAAGATCCCACATGCCTCGTGGCACGGCCAGAAAAAAAAAAAAAGACACTGTGCTTTGGAAGAAAAAAGTAATAGAGAACTGTCGACCTGGAGGGGGCCTCAGGAGCCCTCCCATCCCACGGTCTAACCGTGCGGGTAAGAAGGGACAACATCTCCACAGCTGCCCACCACTGACCTCCGGGTCCTGCCCGCACCCCCCAGCGGCTTGCATCGTCTCCAGGATGGACCACACGCCGAGGATGCGTCGGTGCCCACAGCGTCCTCTTTACTGCTACTCAGACCCCCGAGTGCAGACCAAGCTCACTTCACCAGGTCCTTCCAGAGCAGAGAGCACCCCCCGGGGCACGCACACCGGCCCATGACTCACCGTGCTTCTCATCTTCCTCCAGTTCCACTGCCTGGGCCTGAGAGGGAGAGGAAGCAGAGAAAACAGAGGCTCAGGCTTGCTGAGATCTCAAGACCACGCCCGCGTGGGTCTCATCAGGGGGACTGGGTAAAAGAGGGCGGAAAACTAACTGAAACTTCAGCGGAGAACTCCGCGCACACAGTTCTCAGAGCGGGAGTTCTCAGCCCGGCGTGTGATGCCCCAACGCGCGCCATGCCTCACCCACCATTTCAAGCTCCGACATCTCAGGGAGCTGCGGGGCGGCTTCCACCACAAACTGATCGTCGTCCTCACTGTCAGAGTTCTGCGACTCAGTGATCACGTTGGACACAGTTTTACCACTCCCCGTCCTAAACGAAGAGATACTGGGTTCCGTTAGAAACCTTCTCCCAGTCACATGCCCCCATCAACCCCAGGCGTCTGGAACTGTGTCCCAGTCCTCCCCAGGTCTTCCCCTTGTCTTCACCCACATGCGCTGGGAGGCCTCCCAGAGCGCTCAGGCAGCAGCTGACCTCCCCCTCAGGCCTCCACTCTTCAGGTGCAGGGGAGGGTCGTGGTCTTCCTTATGTTACAGTGGCTTCCAGACTACACTCCCTAAAATCTGCCAACTATGAATTTCCTGTTGTCTGAGCTTCTCTGACAACAGATCAACGTTGTCTGTCATTTGACACAGGATGAGGTGGTTGGATGGCATCACCGACGTGGTGGACATGAGTTTGAGTAAGCTCTGGGAGTTGGTGACGGACAGGGAAGCCTGGCGTGCTGCAATCCATGAGGTCGAAAAGAGCTGGACGCGACTGAGCTGAACTGACTGAGCTTCTCTGAAAACCAGCGCTCTCGCCCACCTGCCAGCCCCGGGGCTCACGCTGCACTCCGGGCTGCTGCCCTAACTCTGGGGGGTTCCCAGAGCTGGAAAGGCCCCACCCAGTCCCTGGGTTCTGGGGCCCCCAAATGCTCCGGCATCCCTCTCTCAGCCACAGGCCTACAGCAGGGCCTGGTCACCGCCATGGACAGCAGACACTCAGCCCCGAATCCAAGCCCCTGCTCCGTGACCACCCCACCCCACCCCAGAGCCTTCCCATCTCTGGCTGGAGAACAGTCCACGAGAGGCTGAGTGGACCCTTCACCTCATGTCCTGGGGGTGCCCGTGAGTACACCCTGCCTCTCCACGCTCTGCAGACCTCTGGGATGGGTGGCCTGTTCTCGACAGGAGGCTCAGCAGCACCCTAGCCCAGAGCCCAGCTGGATGCCGGGAGCCTCGTCTCCACGTCCTCCTCAGTCCCGATGCCACAAAACGTCCCCGGGGCAGCCCTGAACGAGGACCTCGGCACTGGTCCAGTCCAGCCCCTCCTCTCTTTCCTCTGAGCCCCGTGCCTCCATCCTCAGACTCACCATCAGCTCAGGAGAAAGACAAAGAGCCAGGAGCTCACCGCCCAGGATCTCACCAGTCCACCAGCCCCCTCTCCGTGAGGCCAGTCCGTCCACCCGCTCTCGGTTCCCACAACACCCCGCCCCCAACCCACACCACCTGCGTCTCCAGTCTCCCCTCCCGACTGGGCCATTCCCACCACCAGAGAAATGCGCTGCTGGTCCAACCTTAAAAACAGGAACTCTTAAGGATTGCATTGAATCTACAGATTGCTTTGGGTAGTATAGCCATTTTGATAATATTGATTCTTCCAATCCATGAACACAGTATGTTTCTCCATCTGTTTGTGTCCTCTTTGATTTCTTTCATCAGTGTTTTATAGTTTTCTATGTATAGGTCTTTTGTTTCTTTAGGTAGATATACTCCTAAGTATTTTATTCCCTTTGTTGCAATGGTGAATGGTATTGTTTCCTTAATTTCTCTGTTTTCTCATTGTTCGTGTAGAGGAATGCAAGGGATTTCTGTGTGTTAATTTTATACCCTGCAACTTTACTATATTCATTGATTAGCTCTAGTAATTTTCTGGTAGAGTCTTTAGGGTTTTCTATGTAGAGGATCATGTCATCTGCAAACAGTGAGAGTTTCACTTCTTCTTTTCCTATCTGGATTCCTTTTATTTCTTTTTCTGCTCTGATTGCTGTGGCCAAAACTTCCAAAATTATGTTGAATAGTGGTGGTGAGAGCGGGCACCCTTGTCTTGTTCCTGATTTTAGGGGAAATGCTTTCAATTTTTCACCATTGAGGATAATGTTTGCTGTGGGTTTGTCATATATAACTTTTATTATGTAGATTCAATGCAATCCCTATCAAGCTACCAACAGTATTCTTCACAGAACTAGAACAAATAATTTCACAATTTGTATGGAAATACAAAAAGCCCCGAATAGCCAAAGCAATCTTGAGAAAGAAGAATGGAACTGGAGAAATCAACCTGCCTGACTTCAGGCTCTACTACAAAGCCACAGTCATCAAGACAGTATGGTACTGGCACAAAGACAGAAATATAGATCAATGGAACAGAAGAGAAAGCCCAAAGATAAATCCACGTACCTACAGACACCTTATCTTCGACAAAGGGGGCAAGAATACACAATGGAAAAAAGACAACCTCTTTAACAAGTGGTGCTGGAAAAACTGGTCAACCACTTGTGAAAGACTGAAACTAGAACACTTTCTAACACCATACACAAAAATAAACTCAAAATGGATTAAAGATCTAAACGTAAGACCAGAAACTATAAAACTCCTAGAGGAGAACATAGGCAAAACACTCTCTGACATAAATCACAGCAAGATCCTCTATGACCCACCTAATGGTGACCTAATTAAACAAATGGGACCTAATTAAACTTACAAGCTTTTGCACAACAAAGAAAACTATAAGCAAGGTGAAAAGACAGCCCTCAGATTGGGAGAAAATAATAGCAAACGAAGCAATAGACAAAGGATTAATCTCAAAAATATATGAGCAACTCCTGCAGCTCAATTCCAGAAAAATAATGACCCAATCAAAAAATGGGCCAAAGAACTAAACAGACATTTCTCCAAAGAAGACATACAGATGGCTAACAAACACATGAAAAGATGCTCAACATCACTCATTATCAGAGAAATGCAAATCAAAACCACAATGAGGTACCATTACACACCAATCAGGATGGCTGCTATCCAAAAGTCTACAAGCAATAAATGCTGGAGAGGGGGTGGAGAAAAGGGAACCCTCTTACACTGTTGGTGGGAATGCAAACTAGTACAGCTGCTATGGAGAACAGTGGGGAGATTCCTTAAAAAACTGGAAATAGGACTGCCATATGACCCAGCAATCCCACTTCTGGGCATACACACCGAGGAAACCAGATCTGAAAGAGACACGTGCACCCCAATGTTCATCGCAGCACTGTTTATAATAGCCAGGACATGGAAGCAACCTAGATGCCCATCAGCAGACGAATGGATGAGGAAGCTGTGGTACATATACACTATGGAATATTACTCAGCCATTAAAAAGAATTCATTTGAATCAGTTCTAATGAGATGGATGAAAGTGGAGCCCATTATACAGAGTGAAGTAAGCCAGAAAGATAAAGACCATTACAGTATACTAACACATATATATGGAATTTAAAAAGATGGTAACGATAACCCTATATGCAAAACAGAAAAAGAGATACAGATGTACAGAACAGACTTTTAGACTCTGTGGGAGAAGGCGAGGGTGGAATGTTCTGAGAGAATAGCATTGAAACAAGTATACTATCAAGGGTGAAACAGATCACTAGCCAAGGCTGGATGCATGAGACAAGTGCTCGGGGCTGGTGCACTGGGAAGACCCAGAGAGATGGGATGGGGAGGGAGGTGGGAGGGGGGATTGGGATGGGGAACACATGTAAATCCATGGCTGATTCATGTCAATGTATGGCAAAAACCACTACAATATTGTAAAATAATTAGCCTCCAACTAATGAAAATAAATGGAGGAAAAAAAAAACAGGAACTCTTTAACTTCTCTGGGGGCTTCCCACCACCACCTGCTGCCTCATTCCTTCCCTTCCCTGGGCAACAAGGCTTAAAAGACACACCCATGCCGCCTCCAGGCCCCACCTCCCAACCCAGCTGAAGCCCACTCCGACAGGCCCGTTCTCCTTTTCCTATTCCTTCGCTTTGATGTTCTGTACTGTGTCCACACTGGATCCACAGGGAGATTCATAAAATTTATAAAAGCCCTGCGTATGGCTTGTCTTCATACTGCTCGCGACTTTCTATCTTTTGTTTCTAATTTTTGTGCAGTTAAGACTTTAAATTCTTTTATCCCATTTCCTCCCTGATTGTCTTCATGCTCAGAAAATCCTCTTGTCTAGAGATGGAAGGCAAAGATGTGACTGCAGAGCAGGAAACCCTGTGTGGAGGTGGTCTGGCCCGTGCTTAGAGGTCAGGGCCCCCCCAGGTGCTGTGCTCCCCGCCTCAGCATGTGCTCCACCCTCGCCAGCCCCACCCGCGCTGGGGAAGCCCCTCCCCGACTCCAGGTGCCGAGACACCGACGTGGCTGCCCAGGGCCCCACCTGTCCGTGGTCAGCGCCTCTACACTCTCCTGCCGTCGGACCCGGGGAGGTGCGGGCCGTGCGCTCCCAGGCCGAGGTATCCGCCTAAAAAGAGACACAGAACACTTGCACGTTTCTGAGTGGACAGAAGAACAGCCACGCTAATGCCAATTTCCAGGCCACCTTCAACCTGCCAGTTAAGACATGGTCTGCAGAATATTAAGAATATCCCACTAACCTGACAAGTCTAAAAGCACCCACATGTTAATCTCATGAAGGTAAAAAGAATGGTAAACATAACTATGAGGAATCAAACCTGTGACAAAATTTAGCCGTGAGTGCGAATCTACCTCAGTCTCTGAAACGCTCTACAGGAGTCAGGTGCATCTCAGGTACAAGATTAAGCGGGCTTTGCTGTCTCTGAACAAACACTTGCTCATGACTGAGCTCAAGCAGCACACGAGCTGGGGCGGCAAGGAGAGGCGGGGGTGGAACCGGGGTGCACAGACCTGGCCGCCGCAGGGAGCTCGCCGGGCGGGGGCTCGGGATTCTCCGGCGCCTCGCTCTTCTCCTGGCCGGGAGCTCCAACGTCTCCTTCTGGAAAGGTGGCCGGCCCACCAGCAAATTCGCGAAAGAAAAAAAAACAAGAAGTAAATGTGTGAAGACACATCAAAACAACAACAAATATGAATGAAATTTTCCTCATCATTTTGATGAAATTAAAACAGATGCTTGGTATCTAAATTTGGGGTAGGTGTGGGGACAGGGGCAAACTTGAAATACAAACTGGGTCAACTTCTCAAGAAAACAACTCAACAGGTAGGTCTCCCAAGCAGCTAAAAGGAAAATACAGTCTAATGGCAGACATGGACACATATGTGCACACACGCACGTGTCAGGACGCTCAGCCGCCATCATCACCACAGGGACAGACACTAGGAAACTCAGCAAACTGTGGTCTGGTCTGGTCCCCAGCCACACACGTTAATACACGCGTAATCAACAGCGTGCAGTGCCCAGTCGCTCAGTCGTGTCCGCTCTCTGTGACCCCGCGGACTGTAGCCCGCCAGGCTCCTCTGTCCATGGGATGCTCCAGGCAAGAATACTGGAGTGGGTAATGTATATTACATAGCATAGATGGGGGTCTAAAAGGACTTTCATTCAAGTTATGAGCACTGGGATTACCAATGCTTTTCATTTTCTTCATATTTTTCTGCATTTTTTAACTTTTTTTTTATTTTGGCTCTGTACCATATTATTTTTATAATCTGAATAAAGTTTTGTCCATTTTGATAAAGATTTCATCAGTAAACAATAAACCCAAACTATTAAGACAATTAAATTTACTCTACTATTTAAAGTAAAAGTGCTTTATACATTAGAAAATAGTAAAACCGGAATTTGATTATTGGAAATATAATTTATACTCAAGAAAAAAATTCCTGAAATACATTCTTTTAAAACATAAAAAGTTATAAATTGGTGGTTACGTTTCCTTAAGCTACTTTCACTAATACAATGTATAAAACATAAATCTGAGAGTACATGTTAGTATCTGTACAGATGGACACAATTTATACCAAACAGATCTATTTAAGGCCATTACTTACCTGCATCACTAGGACAGTCACCTAAAAAAAAAAGTATATCAGAGAATCAATTTCTGTCAGAAAACTTCCGTATATTAAATGATCAGAACAGGATTTGAGAAAAATATATTAGTAATAACTTTGGATGTCCATTAGGGGAAAAATGGTCATTTCCTCATAGTCTTTTTTTCCAGCTTCCTACTGCCACTGTTTTATTTTTAGAGAGAGACAAACAAAACCACAAATCATAATGTATCATTCCTTAAAAACAGGAGATAAGAATGAGGAGAAAGTGTATCAGTCACGGAGATGAGTGACAGACACAGAGGCGGGAGGTGACAGAGCCAGCCGCAGGCAAACGGGGCCCGTCTCATGTAAGTCAGTCACGAATGTCTTTCCATCGGCTCCCAGACGGGGGGTGGGGGGGGGGGGGCGTCTGCCCTCAGCAGTCGTCACCCTGGACTTTTCCTTCAAGTGCCACGTTACGGGGACAAACGTGACAGCCGAGGCCACGACCAAGGCGGGAAGCGCCATGGGGTGGGTGGACCCAGGACGGTCTGTGCTATACTCTTAAAATGCACAAACACGTGCGCAGAAGAGCCAAAGCTCCCTGGATGCAGGACAAGAACAGACGCCACCAGGGACAGCCCAGGTGACCCAGAGGACGCATGCGTAAACGTGGGGAGGGCCAGCCCGCAAGGGCAGCCTGTGGACACCGAGGTCAGAGCCACAGACACGCTGCCCCAAAGGGGCCAGCTCTGGGGGCGGAGGGCCCGGCCTTGGGCCTCGGACACCTACCTCCCAGAGGTCTGGCCCCACAGAGGGCAGTCTGGAAGACGGGGCTGCCTGGGAGGACATGCAGGGTGTTGGGGAAGGGACCAGCGCAAGAGCTGCCTTGCCACCGAGGCCCAGACACCGCGGCCCTGGGCCTTCTTCAGAGCTGGGAGGGGCTGTGGGTCACAGGGGGCTCCGAGGGCGGCGGAGTCCCGAGCTGACCCCGGGCGCTGCACACACAGGCAGCCTGCCCCCAGCACAGCGCGGTGCCCCACCTCGTGGACGCCCCCAGCCCTGGGCTCCGCCTGCACCACCCGGCCTCCACCCGGACACCGGGACCGAGGCTCCCTCTCCCTTCCTCCCTCGTCCCTGGCCAGTGCACCACCGCCCTGGTCAAGGCCGCCAGCTCCTCCTCTGCACTCGGGCGTATCCGCCCTCGGACATCCACACGCCTCCAGGCTACCCCGCTGCTCTGTCCCACCCCATCGCCCCAGAGCCCGGGCCGGTCTGGCCTCCGGACCACGGGCTACGCTTCCCACATGAGCATCAGCGTCCTGTCTCTAAGCTCCCAATTCGGCCACTGGCCCCAACTCCTGCCCCTGCTCCGCCCCGAGGCCCTGCCTGACCCTGGTGTGACTGACGTCTCCCTGCAAACCACCCCCAGCAACTGCTGCTGTGCCTGCCCTTCAGCTCACTCAGGCGCTTTCTGCCCAAGGGCCAAGCGCACCGCAGGCCTCCGACAGACACTTTCTGCCGAACAGGCTGGCAAACACCAGCCCTCACCTGCCCACACCCCTGCGGCCCCGGCGCTGGGGCATGACCCAGGGGCAGCGGGCAGGGGGCCCCTCTGCACCCAGCAGGAACTCCAGGGCTGAAGCAGCACATGTTGGTCCAGAAAACGGGGCATGTGTGTGGACGTACAGCTGGTTCACTGTGCTGTACCACGGGAACTAATACAACACTGCAAAGCAACTGTACTCCAATAAAAAACCTTTTCTTAAGAAAAGCAAATACTGAATGTATAACTTTACTACAACTTTTTTTTTTTAATGCTGAGAAAGAAAATCATGCTTGAGAGCAGAACCCTAGAGAGAGAGGACTTGAGACAGAGAACATCACAGAAAAGTCACAGTGGAGACAGCCTCCGAGCTGCTGGGAAGTCCTCTTTGGATGGGAAACCTGGGGCTGCAGCTGGGCCTCCGGGAGCCCCAGCAGCAACTGAGGCTTGTCCCTGGGTCACCCTGACACTTCTGGGCTCAGGGGAAGTCGGGACACAGGAAGGCCTGCTGCCCTTGGGCTGGGACTAGGACGTGCTCCTCTAGTTTATCATACAGGCAAGAGCAAGTCACCAGCCATGTTCAGTCCTGAGCGTGGACGACAAGGGTCTGGGCCTCGGAGGGTGGGGGGGTCAGAGGCCTGGGAGCCTGCAGCTGAGGCTATGACCCCGGGACACCCCATGTGGGGGACACGCGGGTGACCAGCCTCCCTCTTACCTTTCTGCTTCACGGCTGGCTCTGACTCAACGCTGCCTCTCCACAGAATGGCTGCATTGTCATCTGAAATACTAGCTGAGTTAGTATTAGCTTCTTTCATTCCTGACGTCAGACAGTTAAAGCGGGTGACTAAGACAGAAGCATGCAGCGGGGTCACGGGCGGCACCTTACATGTCTGTGCCTCCCCACGGCCAGCGCGCCAGGGATGACCTGGGGCAGCTTTCTAGAGGATGCACCTGGACCGTTCCCCTCAGGCCTGGCTCTGGGATCAGGAGAGGGGAAGGGGAGCCCGGGAAGTGGGCCAGCACCTTACATGTCTGTGCCTCCCCATGGCCAGCGCACCAGGGATGACCTGGGGCAGCTTTCTAGAGGATGCACGTGGACCGCTCCCCTCAAGCCTGGCTCTGGGATCAGGAGCGGGGAAGGGGAGCCGGGAAGTGGGCAGGCCCCACCCACTCAGCTGAGGCAGAGGCCAGGCCCCCCCCCCATTTCCAGGACAGCCTGACACCCCCAGTGCCCCTAGTCTCCCCACGACGGCCCGGCCTGGGAGTCATGACCTGAGGCTGCAGCTCCAGGACGGCAGGAGCAAGAGGGAAACGCCCCTGGCTCTGCACAGGCCTATGCGTCGGACGCTCCGGCATGCCTGCCTACTGTTTACTGACTGACGAGCAAATGTTGACCAAAATAGAAAAAAATATCAAGTGCCCGAGAAGTAAAATATTTCTCCTACTAAAAACAAAAGCAGGGGGCTGAGGGGACACACTTTGGATTGTGGCAAGAACCAGGGAGAAACCTGACCCATTACTACAGCACCAACCCCCACATCCAAGAGGGATCTGGAGACAAATGAGTCAGCTCTTCGCATCAGGTGGCCAGAGTATTGGAGTGTCAGCTTCAGCATCAGTCCTTCCAGTGAACACCCAGGACTGATCTCGCTACTCTCCCGGAAACACTCCAGCCAGCACGTGGCCCGCAGCACAGCACAAGCACCCCGCTCTCTGCCAGGGCTCTGGGGAGCGTCTAGCTGCACAGAGACGCTGACCGTATCTAAGTGCAAACACAGACAACCAGGGCTTATACCGGGGGAGCAGCCTGGCACAGGGATCAGCCTCAGCCTCGCATCCTGGGGTGCAGAGACACTGAGTGCATCCTGACAGGAAGTAAGGCAAAGGGCACAGTGTCACCTACGCAGGGTGAGGGCGAGCAGGCTCTTCAGCCCAAGTCTGATCAGGCCTTTAGATCGAAGGGAAATATGGGGCAGGGGGGCTCTAAGCTAAATGACGCCACGAGGAACAAGGGGACAGACACGCTGCACCCGACCAGCAACCACACCGCTCTGGAAAGTCAACGTTCTGGGACAAAAGTTGTGGGGGGGGGGGGCGGTGGTGGTAATATTCCAGATTCAAAGAGGTTGAAGAGACAAAAAGAAGAGGATAAAAAGTGAGATTGCAGCCTGGGTTTCAGACGCTCAGGGGGATCAGTGTGTTAGGTGCAACAGTCACTTCATGGCTCCGTAAGTGCATGCCGAAGTGTTCAGATGGAATACTTAAAGTATTTAAATATCTTTTACATACTTTGAAACCATTCATAAAACAATGTCATTATAGATGAAGCAAACATGCCAGAACCTTAGGACCACCGAGTCCAGGTGAGAGGCACACAGCTGCAAATCGTTCTATCCTACTTTCATATATTTTTCATAATGAAAACTTCTAAACAACAAAAGAACATGAAATGAGGGAACCCAGGCAAAATAAAGAGATGGATGGATAAGGCTCCAGGAGATCGCAGACTGTCAAATGGCTGCAGGAGGACTGAGTCTCCTCAGACAGCCTGCATGACAATGGGAGCCAGGAAAGACAGTGCTTGTGTTTTGAGAAATAAATGGACAAATATTTTGCTGAACTTTACAATCTGCCTGAAAAGGCAAACAACATGGAACAACAGACTGGTTCCAAACAGGAAAAGGAGTACATCAAGGCTGTATATTGTCACCCTGCTTATTTAACTTATATGCAGAGTACATCATGAGAAACACTGGGCTGGACAAAGCACAAGCTGGAATCAAGACTGCCAGGAGAAATATCAATAACCTCAGGTATGCAGATGATACCACCATTATGGCAGAAAATGAAGAGGAACTAAAGAGCCTCTTGATGAAAGTGAAAGAGGAGAGTGAAAAAGTTGGCTTAAAACTCAACATTCAGAAAACTAAGATCATGGCATCCGGTCCCATCACTTCATGGGAAATAGATGGGGAAACAATGGAAACTGTGGCTGACTTTATTTACCTGGGCTCCAAAATCACTGCAGATGATGACCGCAGCCATGAAATTAAAAGACGCTTACTCCTTGGAAGGAAAGTTATGACCAACCTAGACAGCGTATTAAAAAGCAGAGACATTACTTTGCCAACAAAGGTCCATCTAGTCAAGGCTATGGTTTTTCCAGTGGTCATGTATGGATGTGAGAGTTGGACTATAAAGAAAGCTGAGTGCTGAAAAATTGATCCTTTTGAACTGTGGTACTGGAGAAGACTCTTGAGAGTCCCTTGGACTGCAAGGAGATCCAGCCAGTCCATCCTAAAGGAGATCAGTCCTGGGTGTTCATTGGAAGGACTGATGCTGAAGCTGAAATTCCAATACTTAGGCCACCTGATGCGAAGAGCTGACTCATTGGGAAAAACCCTGATGCTGGGGAAGATTGAGGGCAGGAGGAGAAGGGGACGACAGAGAATGAGATGATTGGATGGCATCACCGACTCAATGGACATGGGTTTGGGTGGACTCCGGGAGTTGATGATGGACAGGGAGGCCTGGCGTGCTGCGGTTCACAGGGTCGCAAAGAGTTGGACACGACTGAGCGACTGAACTGAACAGACAAGTAAGAACCACCAAGCCCATGCACTCTCTCGGGACTCCCCACAACAATGCCAGCTGGCTGGCCCAGGAGCGGTCAGCGTGATGATGCACAGCTTCAGTTTGAAGCGCTGGCCGGGAGTGGACAGGGACTGAGAGAGACCGGCGCCACTGGACCTGGAGGCTTAAGGAAGTTTACCGCCGGCTGGCAAGCCCTGGGTTCTGAGAGTCCAGGGACGGCCGGGGCAGGATGACACATGTGATGACGGGCACCCGGGGTGGGCGCAGGGACAGGCTCGAGGGTGGAAGGGCCTGCGGGGAGGGCCCCCCAAGCCCAGGTCGCCAGGACCTCACCAGGGCAGAGCGAGCGCGTGGGACTCGGCCCGTGGCCAGCAGGTGGCACCAGGCTTCCCCTCATCTCCACAAAGCACTGGTCTGAGGCCCCCAGTCAGCGCTCTGTGCTCCTTCAACGCGCAACTTCCCAGTATTTTCACAGCTGCAGATAAAGGTCTACAAAGATCATACAGTGCTGAAGAGCTCTCTGACGTGACTTTAAACCCATCACACCCTCTCCAGACAGTGCTGGCTCACCCTGCCTGGGGGCTCCGCAGATGTATAGGTGATCAGCACTGAAGCCCTTGTACGCCGCATGCCCATGACAAGGCAGCCACCGCACGGACCCTCAGGCAGGTCCCCTCACACCCGGCACCCACGAAGGGACGCTGGCTCAGCGAGCATACCCTGCGGCTCGCTCCAGGCCAGCGGGTACACGGGTCTGGGTCTGGAGGTGAGGTGCGTCCACGTGGGCCGCCCAGCTGCCACACGGGGCAACCTCTCACTCAGGCTTCACCCCCAGCCTGCTCCCCGCTCCCGCGGCTCTGGGACCCCCGAGGGGCTGAGAAAAGCTCCCGAAGAAGTGAAATAAACCATCACGAGATGTGGCTGAATGGCACCACCTGTGGGGTCACTGAGAACGGGGTGTCCATTCGTAAGAAAGCATCCTGCCCCGATGTAGGTCATCGTCCCCCACACTGCTCAAGACCCAGATACACAGCACAGGGCTGACCTACTTGGAACAGAACACCCACGGATCATCACTGCTGAACTGACGATGGAGCAGAAGGCTTGCACGCACATCTCTTAGAAAAGCAAAAAAACGAGGAGAGTAGAACGCAAGCACAGAAAGACAGGCCTGCTGTTATTCTAGTTACAATTACTGAGTTTTTACAAACCAGACAGAGCTGAGGCCATCTCAGCCCAGAAAAATGTTTACCTTTCCCTGAAGTCAAGATTTACACTATTTTCTCCCTTAAATGTCACTCAAGAATTGCCACATTTCTGAAGAACTGAGTTTATCACAGGGGACAACACTCAGTCGTCATCTCTGCTGATTCCACTGAAATTCCAAATCCGCACATCTGTCCTCACCATATCAGCAGGATGAGGACGTGTGCACACGTCATGCTGCCAGCCTCAAACGTAAAGGGTGCGCCACGGGGACACCGCCCCCAGGTGCTCTGCCCAGGCACCTTAAAGTATTTACTGCGGCAAGGCCGTGCTCATGCTCAGTCGAGTCCGACTCTTTGCAACCCCCCTAGGCTCCTCTATCCAAGGGGGTTTCCATGCAAGAAGACTGGAGCAGGTTGCCATTTCAGCCTCCAGAGGATCTTCCCAGCCCAGGGATGGAACCCACATTGCAGGCAGATTCTTTACCGCTGAGCCATGGGGGAAGCCCATTTATTGTGGAGCATTTTCTTAATAGAACACAGCAGAACAGCCTGGAGAAATGAAAGATAATTCTCTATCTATCCACACCATTTCATAAAATTCCAGCAGCAAGATAAAAGAAAGCACTTTGAATTAGATTCAGAAGTGTCCCACATAAAAAGGCAATGTCAATGTTAAGGTTAACCTTAATGAAAAGGTTAATGTCAAGCTGAGTTACTCTTTCTCATCGTAAAACTTAGCAGATTAAAGCAAACAGAATATCAAGTCATTTCGGGTCTTCAATACATTATGAAAAGTATTGGATAAACATTAAAGTGGTGGAAAAATTATAAAACAAATGAAAACCACACTGAAATGTAAATATTTCTTATCAATGCAGTGAAGAATTTAAACTAAAGAATATATTTTTCTCACCTATTTCTGAAGTTATAGTTTCCTGATCTGGTTCATTATTTAATCCAGACACTATGGGGTCTAAAATTTTAGCTGAAATGTTACTGTCCTTCTTGCTGACATGAAATAGCTAACAACAGATTAAAATACTGCAAAGGCTTTTGCGTCTAGTTGCTTTGGCTTGTTGGGATTTACAGGGGTTTCTGCCAAGGTCACCAACTAGCTGTCCCGTCCACTCAATGGCTGGTTCTCCGGCTCCACGGGACGCTGCGTAATACACCCCCCTTCCCTGGCTTCAGGACACCCGCTCTCCAAACTCCCCTCCACCATGCTGGCCTGTCTCCTCTGCCAGAGCCCCCTCCTCTCCGAGCCTCCCTGAAGGGGAGAATCCTGGGCGCCCCGCTCCCCGAGATGAGGCCCTGCGTGAAGGTCCTATGCCACCCTGGGAACCCCCAGCTTCTTCACGTTAACGCCGGCTTCTCCAGGTCTCTCCCTGAACCCCAGGCCACAGCCTGCCCGCAGTCCCAACACCTCTACCCGGCTGTCTCATGGGCACCTTGAATGCAATGCCTCCAGAACAGAAATCCTGGCCCAGCCACCCCACCCGCCAACCAGCTTCTCCCAAAGCTTTCCCCACATCCATAAACAATACCATCCAGGGTCAGGCTCCGGAACCCAGGACTGACCCTCCCTCTGACTCCTCTCCTTGTGAACAGGGGCCGCCCGTTGCATCAGCACGCCCATCACCCCACCCTGGTCTTCTTGGCGGGGACCCTTGAGCCCCACCATCACAGCCTGCCACCCGCACACAGCGGCAGCCCCCGGCGGCTCTCCGCCTCACTCCTGCGCCCTGCAGTTTTAATGGGGGCGCTTCTCAAGCCCGGGCCGGTCTCCGTCCTGCTGGACACCCCCAGAGGCTGCGCTCACACTTAAACAGCCCGCCCGGCAGACGCAACTCCCGAAGACCCCAGCCTGCCACACAGGAGCCCGGTCTCTGGTCACTTGCTCTCTGCTCCAGCCTCTCCACCCGGCTCCCAGGCTCGCGGACAGGCAGGTCCCAGCGACGGGCCTCTGGCCAGTCCTGGCACCCGCAGCTCATGTGCTCAGCGACCCGAGTCGACTCTGTGCAGACACCCCGCCCCCGCCCCCCACTCCTCTAGGCTTCCTCTCCCTTCAAAAGACTCTGGTAAACTAATAGGAACATGTATACCTGACCTCTCCTCATTATCTAACAGAGGGTGTACACCTGACCTCTCCTTATTATCTAACAGAGGGTGTACACCCTGACCTCTCCTTATTACCTAACAGAGGGTGTACACCTGACCTCTCCTTATTACCTAACAGAGGGTGTACACCTGACCTCTCCTTATTACCTAACAGAGGGTGTACACCCTGACCTCTCCTTATTACCTAACAGAGGGTGTACACCCTGACCTCTCCTTATTATCTAACAGAGGGTGTACACCCTGACCTCTCCTTATTACCTAACAGAGGGTGTACACCCTGACCTCTCCTTATTACATAACAGAGGGTGTACACCCTGACCTCTCCTTATTATCTAACAGAGGGTGTACACCTGACCTCTCCTTATTATCTAACAGAGGGTGTACACCCTGACCTCTCCTTATTACCTAACAGAGGGTGTACACCCTGACCTCTCCTTATTATCTAACAGAGGGTGTACCCCTGACCTCTCCTTATTATCTAACAGAGGGTGTACACCTGACCTCTCCTTATTACCTAACAGAGGGTGTACACCTGACCTCTCCTTATTACCTAACAGAGGGTTTACACCCTGACCTCTCCTTATTACCTAACACAGGGTGTACCCCTGACCTCTCCTTATTACCTAACAGAGGGTGTACACCTGACCTCTCCTTATTATCTAACAGAGGGTGTACACCTGACCTCTCCTTATTATCTAACAGAGGGTGTACACCCTGACCTCTCCTTATTACCTAACAGAGGGTGTACACCCTGACCTCTCCTTATTATCTAACAGAGGGTGTACACCTGACCTCTCCTTATTACCTAACAGAGGGTGTACACCTGACCTCTCCTTATTACCTAACAGAGGGTGTACACCCTGACCTCTCCTTATTACCTAACAGAGGGTGTACACCCTGACCTCTCCTTATTATCTAACAGAGGGTGTACACCCTGACCTCTCCTTATTACCTAACAGAGGGTGTACACCCTGACCTCTCCTTATTACCTAACAGAGGGTGTACACCTGACCTCTCCTTATTACCTAACAGAGGGTGTACACCCTGACCTCTCCTTATTACCTAACAGAGGGTGTACACCCTGACCTCTCCTTATTACCTAACAGAGGGTGTACACCTGACCTCTCCTTATTACCTAACAGAGGGTGTACACCTGACCTCTCCTTATTACCTAACAGAGGGTGTACACCCTGACCTCTCCTTATTACCTAACAGAGGGTGTACACCTGACCTCTCCTTATTACCTAACAGAGGGTGTACATCCTGACCTCTCCTTATTACCTAACAGAGGGTGTACACCTGACCTCTCCTTATTACCTAACAGAGGGTGTACACCTGACCTCTCCTTATTACCTAACAGAGGGTGTACACCTGACCTCTCCTTATTACCGAACAGAGGGTGTACACCTGACCTCTCCTTATTACCGAACAGAGGGTGTACACCTGACCTCTCCTTATTACCTAACAGAGGGTGTACACCTGACCTCTCCTTATTACCTAACAGAGGGTGTACACCTGACCTCTCCTTATTATCTAACAGAGGGTGTACACCTGACCTCTCCTTATTACCTAACAGAGGGTGTACACCCTGACCTCTCCTTATTACCTAACAGAGGGTGTACCCCTGACCTCTCCTTATTACCTAACAGAGGGTGTACATCCTGACCTCTCCTTATTACCTAACAGAGGGTGTACACCTGACCTCTCCTTATTACCTAACAGAGGGTGTACACCTGACCTCTCCTTATTACCTAACAGAGGGTGTACACCTGACCTCTCCTTATTACCTAACAGAGGGTGTACACCTGACCTCTCCTTATTACCTAACAGAGGGTGTACACCTGACCTCTCCTTATTACCTAACAGAGGGTGTACACCTGACCTCTCCTTATTACCTAACAGAGGGTGTACACCTGACCTCTCCTTATTACCTAACAGAGGGTGTACACCTGACCTCTCCTTATTACCTAACAGAGGGTGTACACCTGACCTCTCCTTATTACCTAACAGAGGGTGTACACCTGACCTCTCCTTATTACCTAACAGAGGGTGCACACCCTGACCTCTCCTTATTACCTAACAGAGGGTGTACACCTGACCTCTCCTTATTACCTAACAGAGGGTGTACACCTGACCTCTCCTTATTACCTAACAGAGGGTGTACACCTGACCTCTCCTTATTACCTAACAGAGGGTGTACACCCTGACCTCTCCTTATTACCTAACAGAGGGTGTACACCTGACCTCTCCTTATTACCTAACAGAGGGTGTACACCCTGACCTCTCCTTATTACCTAACAGAGGGTGTACACCCTGACCTCTCCTTATTACCTAACAGAGGGTGTACACCTGACCTCTCCTTATTACCTAACAGAGGGTGTACACCTGACCTCTCCTTATTACCTAACAGAGGGTGTACACCTGACCTCTCCTTATTACCTAACAGAGGGTGTACACCTGACCTCTCCTTATTACCTAACAGAGGGTGTACACCCTGACCTCTCCTTATTACCTAACAGAGGGTGTACACCCTGACCTCTCCTTATTACCTAACAGAGGGTGTACACCTGACCTCTCCTTATTACCTAACAGAGGGTGTACACCTGACCTCTCCTTATTACCTAACAGAGGGTGTACACCTGACCTCTCCTTATTACCTAACAGAGGGTGTACACCTGACCTCTCCTTATTACCTAACAGAGGGTGTACACCCTGACCTCTCCTTATTACCTAACAGAGGGTGCACACCCTGACCTCTCCTTATTACCTAACAGAGGGTGTACACCTGACCTCTCCTTATTACCTAACAGAGGGTGTACACCTGACCTCTCCTTATTACCTAACAGAGGGTGTACACCTGACCTCTCCTTATTACCTAACAGAGGGTGTACACCCTGACCTCTCCTTATTACCTAACAGAGGGTGTACACCTGACCTCTCCTTATTACCTAACAGAGAGTGTACACCTGACCTCTCCTTATTACCTAACAGAGGGTGTACACCCTGACCTCTCCTTATTACCTAACAGAGGGTGTACACCTGACCTCTCCTTATTACCTAACAGAGGGTGTACACCTGACCTCTCCTTATTACCTAACAGAGGGTGTACACCTGACCTCTCCTTATTACCTAACAGAGGGTGTACACCTGACCTCTCCTTATTATCTAACAGAGGGTGTACCCTGACCTCTCCTTATTATCTAACAGAGGGTGTACACCCTGACCTCTCCTTATTACCTAACAGAGGATGTACACCCTGACCTCTCCTTATTACCTAACAGAGGGTGTACACCCTGACCTCTCCTTATTACCTAACAGAGGGTGTACACCCTGACCTCTCCTTATTACCTAACAGAGGGTGTACACCTGACCTCTCCTTATTACCTAACAGAGGGTGTACACCCTGACCTCTCCTTATTACCTAACAGAGGGTGTACACCTGACCTCTCCTTATTACCTAACAGAGGGTGTACACCTGACCTCTCCTTATTACCTAACAGAGGGTGTACACCTGACCTCTCCTTATTACCTAACAGAGGGTGTACACCCTGACCTCTCCTTATTACCTAACAGAGGGTGTACACCTGACCTCTCCTTATTACCTAACAGAGGGTGTACACCTGACCTCTCCTTATTACCTAACAGAGGGTGTACACCCTGACCTCTCCTTATTACCTAACAGAGGGTGTACACCTGACCTCTCCTTATTACCTAACAGAGGGTGTACACCCTGACCTCTCCTTATTACCTAACAGAGGGTGTACACCTGACCTCTCCTTATTACCTAACAGAGGGTGTACACCTGACCTCTCCTTATTACCTAACAGAGGGTGTACACCTGACCTCTCCTTATTATCTAACAGAGGGTGTACACCTGACCTCTCCTTATTATCTAACAGAGGGT